GTGACTGCATGACGTGAGCCAATCAAGGCATGGTATATGTAACGTGACCAGCCGGAGCAAAAGGAGTGCCTTTGTCAGAGGGCATGACAGGCTGTGCATCATATATCGCAAGCTCAATGATTATCCCGGTGATTCTGAGTGAAAAGGATCGATTCCAGGCCCCGCAGCGTCAATCACGGCTCGAGGATTTCGGCCCCCACAGAATTGCCACGCCGCATTCGCAAGCTCTCGCGAAGAAAGAATGCAAGTGATGAATTGATTGAGTTCCTTGTCCTGAGATTCTTCCTCCTCTCTAACAAAAAGTGACTTCTTATAGTTCCGTCACCTGTGGCTGCCTTGTGGTGGCGATGTCGCCACCCAGGCCGCCTAGATGACGTTGTCATCTAGAAGGTTCGATACCACCGCTTAACAACCACATTATTCATCCTTCTCAGTCACCTTTGCTAGAGTCAGCCCGACTAGGTAACCTTCGGACCGAGATCGTTAACCCGTTTTCACGACACAAGCTGCGACGTCACTAATTCCAACTAGCATATATGTCAAGGTGAACAAAGGCACTCGCCAAGGCCCACAATACGATCATGTCGCATATCAAGCCTGCCTGGGACGATTACTCATGAAGTGGCGATATTACTACGCAACCGCTGTTGCCTGCCAGGCAACAGCTACCATCTGACACCCCCCTTTCGCTCACACACCCCTTATGCTCAAACAAATTACGCTTGCCTCACCAAAAATCTGATCTTTGAACCGCATGGATTCTAATTACAAAATAAAGATACACTCATAAAAATTATATCATGTGATAGACAATTGAATTCTTCATCCGATTCTTGGTCTTTTGACCACGCGACCTGATCGGGTAGTGCGCGGAGGAGGTTCAGGTACTCTCACTTCAATCCCTGAAGCTGCCTCCGACTCCGACTCCGACCCCGTCTCCAACAGGTCACAATCCACCACAACAGGCTTTTTTGGACTCCAAAATTCGGGAATGGCTTCTCCGACCGCCAAAGCTTCAGCGAGATCCATGAAACGTCTGTTGGGGTTCGGAATTGCCCTTCTCTTCCTTCCCCTCTTTAACCTGTCCACTTCTTCCTCGAGCTTGGCTATTTTGCTGTTATGCTCTGCTAGTGTCTGTTCCTGCGTTTCCCAGCCTTTAGCTATCTTAGTATACCGTCTCCGGGTCGCAGGCGTTTTGTTCTTGCCAAGGTCACGAATATGGCGGCTTGTTTTCGGCGTATCGTCTGACCCCAAATATGGCTTATATTCTGGAGAAGCCTTGACCCTGTCCTGTTGGATTTCAGGGTGCCGCAGCGCCTTCACTCGTGAGATTGGCCAATTCCCGGTCACTCTCCAGCCAGACAATATGTTCTTCTGAGTCATTCCCATCTCACGGGCTCTCGCGTACGCACGTATAAAGTTGACCTTATCAACTGGCGCAGAATCCGTCAAAGAAGCCAGTCTGTCAAGCTCCTTCCGATAGGCTGCCTTTATGGCATTGAAAACACCGTTGTCTAGCGGCTGGAGGCCATGAGAACAGTGAGATGGAAGGTAACAACAATAGATATTGTTCAAGAAGCACGTAGCCATCCAATTGTTCTGTCGTCAAATTAATGGGACTCCATTGCAATATACGGAAACGACGCACCGTTGCATGACTTCCATGTCCATCCAAAATGATAAGCCTAGCCTCAGACTCGTCAGAAGGTCGTGTTTGGGGCAAATAGACCTCCTCAAGCCATTCAACAGCGATGTGGTTGTCCGTCCACCCGTTGGGCGAAGTTATGTAGTGCCAGTCCGCAAACTTGCGAAATTCTTGCTTAAACCACTGTTTCTGAAGCTCTTTGCCCTTAAATATAATGCCGGGAGTCAAGGCGCGCCCATCGGCGGTGATAGCCTCTATAAAAGAGGTCCAGCCGCGGGACTGGGGCCCCTTGAGAAGAGCCTTCCGTTTAGGGTCTGAACTTCCAACTCCCAGACTGTCCAGACCTCGAAAAAGAAGCGCGATTAGCTGGATTCGTGTAAAGAAAGTCAAATGCATACCAAATCCCGACATAATTCCCCCTTCATCAACATTTACGGTGTTCTCTGGCTTGATCCACCCGTACTCTTTCTCCCTGATGTCAAAGTACCAATGCACCGCTTTAGGGGTAAATGAGTTGAATCTGTTGGCTTCTTGACGTCTTCCAATCTTATTCTTGAGCTCTGGATGGCGTCTAATGAACTTGACCACCTAGTGAACTCCCAAATATGACTCACGGCCTTGTTGTTTCAAAACAGCTGTGACGCAAGCGCGAATCTGACTCTGAGACGGAGCATAACCCACAGACTCTTGACGAAGTATCCAGGCGACTAATTTGGCCTCCTGATCTCTGGATAAGTGTTGTTGAGGCTGGCTCTGCTCAGCCAACGCCGACTGACCTCGCATTCTGCTGGAAATAGTCCTCTGGGGTATTCCCCATTTCTGAGCGGCCTGGTGCTGCGAAAGACGGTTATCCGTAATATCGAAAATTGCCTCAACCATCAAATCTTCCGTGTATGTTGAACGGCGCCGTTTTGAAGCCATTTGTGAGAGGTGGTGGAGGATGAGCAAGTGAGGAAAGGAAAGGAGGCTGGAGAAGATTAGGGGTCAAAATTGCCATTTTGCGATGCTAGGGTGTCACGGACCATGAGGACCGGGGTAACCAAATGACCTTCGAAAATGAATCTCTAGCCATTTTAATTTGCTTGAGAGGTTGCCGCTTGTGAATTGCTTCTCAATTGAGCAGATCCTTTGTAAGTGAAGTTGGTCAATTTTGTATGGGGCGGTGGCATTTTTGCTGAGCATAAGGTGGGTGTGAGCGAAAGAGGGGTGTCAGATGGTAGCTTCCAGGCTTGTCTATAGACTCTTCTCGGCCAGTGAAGGAGGAAAGCAAAATAAAATTAAAAATCAGGTGAATAGTCCCGTAAGTAGAGTATCGGCCCAGTGCTGGGTGTCCGGAAAGAATGGGGGTTGGCAAAAGGAAAAACGAGGAAATGGACAAAACTTGTTAGATCTCTGGCAAGGGAAGTATAAGGGGAAAGAACAAGTAAGATAGCTACAGCAACTTCTTCACGCCTTCTTTGCCTGGCCGCGTGCTGGTCATGGCGTAGCCCTTGCGGTCTTCCCAGGGGCTTGGACGAAGGACAGTCAGATTTGCGTTCTACGGGTCCCATTTGCCCCGTGTTGGTGGGAACTGGAACACTCGCCCCTGAGTAAACGTGATGAGTCGGTTGGTTAGCTGGACCGAGTCTTGGGAGCCGCTCGCTTTAGAACCACTGCCTGTTTGCCAATATTTCATAACTGATATATCCAACCAGTATTGCAAAACATCCGTACCTCGGTAGCCACGGACGCAGGTCTCACAGAGGCTACCTTCTTCTTCCGAAGTGGATGCCGACGTGGGCAGCCCTTCCCTTGTCACGAGGCTTCCTTCCCTGCGAGCTTCGTCACCCCCCAGTACTTCCCACGCCAGGATGAGGGAAGAGAAATTAACAGGCAGAATCCTGCGTCACGCTCAACCCCTGACTCCCACTGCAGGGGAGCTGCGAGCCAGTCTTCATGATTCGGGAGAGCCGGTCCGCCCAGTCGCTCTAGAGATTCGTCCCGGTGCCTATTTGGAAGTTGGCTGCTGGTGGATTTGGGATGTGATCGACGCGTAGATGCAGAAGATGGAGGTGTCCTGGTCGGGGTACACGAACCATCTGATGCAAGGGATGGTTAAAGACTTAGGCTGACTGGTAGACGTCCCCACTAAGGGGTGCTCACAGGCATCAGCCAAGTAACAGCGGACCACAACCCCGAAACAGGAGGAAGGTGCATGAGCCAACCCGGCTGAAAGTTGGCACGAAGTGGTCAAGGTCACATTGTGGAAAACTTGCGGGATAATTTGCTGGAGCTCACATCAGGGGTTACAGACAAGCTCGACCCGGGAAGCCCGTTCCACACTCGTGCGGAAAGCAGAGGACCATAGACATCAATCCACCTATTCTTTTTCTTCCCTATCACTCTCCTTGTTCTTGCAGCTCTCCGAGAGCCAACGAGCGGCGGACGATCTAACAAAGGCCCTTTTGCCCGCCATGTCGACTGACTCTACCTCGACGACTCAGGAAGATGCGAGTCCCTTTCACACTGAGTCGGTTGCCTGATGACAAACTGGTCATCTCCGTGCCATCCATAGGATTCTACGTCCTGCCTCGCCAACCTCGGAGGTTTGGGACACCGAAACTCAATATAACGGCGTAGGCCGTCGCGACGAACAGGCGCAAGGCGAGATTGCAGAGTCACCTACAGCAGAGGCACATCCGGTGCTCGCACCCAGCCATCTTCATGACTCTTCCTCTTGCAGCGACGGGAAGGAGAATCGTCCTCCTGGACTTGCATTTCAGGTCGCCGTATCCGACACCTGCCATCGAGTAGAGGCCAACGGTTCCATCGATAGCGGACAAGACGAACAAATTGAACTGGAGTTTGGCTTCCCTCTTCGCAAGCCTGTTCAAATCACCTTGAGGTTCTCCTCGTGTTCTCCTCCAGGCTCGTCACGATGCACCAGACAGCGCGAGCGGAGGAGCCATGATGAAATCACCGGGAGGAATGATGCATGGCTTCGATCGCCTGAGCAAAGATGGCAAGCTCCTAGGCAAAGGCACAAGATGCAGCGTGCTCAGAAATTTCGGAGGAGCAAGCGACCGGCCGTGGAAGAGTGTTGAATTTGAGTATCTTTACCAACCTTAGAATGGGGGTGGTCCCTTGATGCCTCCTCTATGAAACATTGATTCCACAAGCTAGCATTAACATCCTCGGTCTTCATACGAGACTTGTCGGGGAACTGCCTCGTATTGGCGATTCATGCGATGTGTGCTGATAGTTCAATCCGTTGTAGCCTGTAAATGCCCCCTGCTGCCTTTATTTACAGTTACCGTGCATTCAAGGAACAAGATTTGATGACAGCATCGCCTCAAGCTCCGCATAACTTGCCCCATCACTCCACGAATACTGTAGTGCCTGTAGGACACGGCTTACATACTGGACATTCGGTAAGCAAAGGCCACAGTGTAAGGTAAATCGTCCTTACCATTAATCCGAAGCATTCCATTCCAACCAGCCGCTGACGCAAGGCAATTTGCTGGTATGGGTCGACGGTAGCAATGCCTACAGTGAGGAGTGGCCACAACGTTGCCAGTTGGTCGATACCCGTCGTAAAGCGGCCCATCAATGTGATAATCCGATCGGCAGCAGTCTTTACTTCAGTGTTAAAAGCCGCGCTTCCAATCCTTCTTGTGGTAATTCTTTCGAGATAGATGATGCATGCTAGACCATAACACTGTACGCATGCTGCTGCCGTTCGAGCTTCGATGGCCTCATCGTTTTCATCAGTCTCATATCCCGGCATGTGGTTCAGCTTTTCCAGACTGAGGCATATAGGAGGCATGACTTGATGCCAATTTGCAATCTCATACTTAAGGTCCCCGTACGTGATTGCCTTTCGCTGGTCGTCAAGTCCAGAGCGGACTGATGTCGCAAAAAGACTGATCTTTGCGAGGATAGACATGACCTTAGACCGTGAGCTGCGAAGTTGGGCCATGATGCGATCTGTCGATTCGGAAGCTGTAGCAAAGCTTGGGACGCCTAGGTTGTATTCCCATCCACCAGCCCACTTCTCCCAGTAGTCGCCGTTGATGAGTGGTCGATTGCCCCTTGCGCAGGAGGCCGCAACGTCGAGATAGGACATCATTGAAACCAGGAACCGCCGTAATGGAACCGAATCGCCTTCACGGAGTCCATACACGTTGTGGCTTCTTGGAGAGGAGGTATGGGGACAAAATATGGCTTGCAAGTTGAGACCGGCCCCAAAAAGGTATGTGGTCCACGACGAATCGTTGGTGGATATCATGGCGAACATGCATAGCAGCAAATTTGTAGCCAGTAGCTCCAAGCTAGCCCCTTGAGTTGAAGAAAGAGCTCGGAGTTGCGAAACCGCTTTGCCATAGTATTCCATTGCTGCAACGTGGTGAATACTCTTATGCCCCTTGCCTGCAATGGTAGAGAAATGCATGGCGCCGAGCGCTTGTATTGTGACCTGCAGCAAACCAAAATTGTGGAAAATGCTGAGCAGCTTCCGAAAGGGAGTGTGGTTGAAAGGTGTGTCGAAGACGATCAGGTAAGAGGATACAGTATTGTGAAAATGCTGTTGATAGAGCCCGTCGCGTGACACCACTGCGGCCGGTATGGTACGGCTGAACGGCGACTCGACGACTTCACCAGGTCCTTCGGATTCTCGGATATTCGCTGCTGACGCGGTTTTCCCCAACGTAACTCTCTCAGATGGCCGCTTATTTGGTGGGAGGACTCCCTCGACATTGTGCTCCCTGATGAAAGCCGGACTGAAGGTGTTGGTGGCAAGCAATATGACAGGTGCTTGGGACTCTTCAAAGGTGTAGAGGCCTTTTCCCGGCCCAGCGGCCTTGACGTGAAAACTGCGTTGAACATAGCGGCAATCCCGATCGAATCCTATGCAAACTTTGCACCGAGGTTTGCCTGCGTCGCACTTTGTGTGCTTTTGGCGACAAGATTCACACGATGCAAATGGCTTCTTTGTCCGCAACACTTGAGGCGGCACCCCAGTTAAGGAAGTGTCGAAACGAAACTTAACCGGTATAAATGCTCCCTCTTTATGAGCCATTTTGCATAAAGACCAGCGATCAATTCTGCCTGCAGTTAGAAATGCCAGCATTATTGCGTGGAGCGTGCACTCACCTGCCGACCTTTATGAGCCGCTTTGGTAGGACTTGACGCCGCGTTATACTTAGAGGGGGGACGCCTTTACGTAGGAGAGGAGTTTAGTGGAAGTGGAAGCCGGATGAAACAATGAGCTTGGAGAAAATAACAACATCCATGCCAGGTCTTAGGCAAGGGAAGTGTCTGGGAAAAGAGCTACTGATGATTGCTATGGCAGCTTCAGGCCTTTTATACCCTGGCTACACGCTGAAAAGGGTACCACCCATGCAGCCTTGTCGGGACTTGGACAGGGGACGGTCGGTTTGCAACTTGTACGATTATATCTGTTCCGTGTTGGCGATATATCGATACACGTCACCGCGTAGCGTTCTTCAACCATCTAGACCAAGCTGCCATGTAATTTATTGCTTCGCACATCTTTGATCTACAGGTAATCAATTTCACTTTATCGACGCCAGTCTGGCATCAACGCAATTGCGTTGCGCTTCTAGAGAGGAGACATCTCTGCCAAGCCGGTTCTCAACGAAGTCGCCGGCTGCTGGGAAGCACAGGATGTCTCTACGAGGTTCAGTGGCCATTTCTACCTCTTTCAACTACATCCATGTAAGGCCTAGTCATTCACTCCTTTCTATAAGTAGAGACAGCGACAAGATCATTCGTCCTTTATTGAGAGCACCCTTGCGCGGACAGCATTGGCTTTGGCCACAAGAAGACAGCCGTTTCAAACCGTGCGAAGCTTTGCCATAGCTCTCGCATGAATTGGATCGGAACCAGACCATGCTTCCAGCCTCAACTTCATATAATCCGACAAAGTTTCATCGACTGGCTGTGATAGTTGGTGATGTCCTGTCTGCGTGGACGCTTGGGTGATTTTCATGACTTCTGGATCGCCGGGATTGCCCATGACTACCAGCCGGAGAGTGGCACGCACTGCTTGATCAACTACATCGAGTCCGTTGGTCGGGTAGCCTTGGGTGAGAAATATATGAAAGTCTTCGAGATAGTCGTTTTGGATAGGCCCGTCGAGGATTACATCGTGAGCGCGTTGAGGGTATCTCGTCATCCGTCCCATGGCAGTAATAAGTTGAATCAACTCGGCTTTGCATAGTGGCTTTAGAAACTCCCTCCTGGCGAAGGACAAGAATGGTTCGGGAGCTAAGTCCCTGTTGGGCATATTGAACATGGTTCGATCTTTGCCCGGGCTCATTGGAACGTCACGGGATCTAACGTTTGCCGGTTCTGGCCCAAACCTGAAGTGATATTCGGAGAACTGGTTTGGCTGGACTCGGGCGTCGGGGCTATCATCAACATCGTTCTTGCCTTCCAATCTACTATTTCTTCCTTTGGTTAGTGGAGTTGCTTAGAAGATTGAATGCGACTGTTTTTGATGATGTACAAGTAGAAGTAACCGCTTAAATCTGCGTCGGAATTTACAGTCTTTCCGTGGACACGGCTCAGATGGGTACGGAAATTGTCGTTTCTTGTCCAAATTTTCGGTGGACAACTTTTCTCTTTTGGACCATAGTAGGGACAGGTATACCATTTTCCGGGTGAAGGGAGCTCAGCATGAACGGTCGTGAGGTGCCGCCGAAGATCAGCGTTGGAACCGAACCCGTCCTCTGACCTGGCACAGCCAGAATAGGGGCATTTGAAAGGCTTTTCGTGGATCCTGTTATGTTTTCTGGCTCGTGTTAACTGCATCATCTGAATGATTGTGAGGATTAAGCGCACTTACTTGAATATAGAAAGAGTCTTGCACACGCAATGACATGTCTCGCATCGGAGAACCCCTCGGCTTGATGGGTATGGGTGCAGGACCATTGAAAGCAAATCGTCGGACGAAAGAGCAGATCGCCTTGTCTCAATGCAATGACGGAGAGAAAGTGCCTGCTTGGTAGCAAAGTTGAAACGTTGCTTCTTTAGATAGAAAAGTGGTAAACCCTACAGTCAGTCTTTTCCCGAGGAAAGCATTTCATTAACAGGTGAAAAAGGAGAAAGCCGGACTGTTACTTGTAAAAGCCAAAGTAAGCAAAATGCAGATACGGTGGAAAACAAGGGCCGACAATGATTCGTTTCACGGCTCCCGCCTTCATCGAGTGGACATCCTGTATGTTTGATAAACCCTGCAGCCGGACAACGCATGGCGTGCAGCTAGAGGCTAGGAAGCGCTCCCAGTCAGCTAGGGTGTCTAGGACCTCGTAGCCCCGGATGGCCATTCTCTTGGTAAGGGCTGAGACCTGCAGTGAAATCCAAATTTAGTGTAATCCCCTCGGCTGGGACACCGACATGGACCGCACGATCTCAGTAGGCAACATCGACAAATGCCACAAATCGAAAAACACGCCATTCGTCTTCTCAATTATCCTCCCTAGCTGACTGAGATGCAACGATTTATGAAGTACAAGAAAGAGTGTCGCAAATTTGAAAAGACGCCTTCACGGCCTTACATGGTTCGTTCTTGCCGTGGCATCTTCGTCTATATCCCTCAAGTGTTCATTCGCACATCTCTCCAGTTTTTCAAGGCCCATCTTCTTCGCTGTCTCTTTAGCAGATTGAAAAAGTCGCCGCTGCGTGGGTTAGTTCCCAATCGATGCTACTTGTGAGCGAGAACTTACAAATGCGCCCTCCGTCTCAATGGGATCAAAACAGCCGTTCTCGTAAAGGCGGTACCTGTAAGAAATCTCTATGTACTCGGCCACCAGGTATGGGGGGTCTCCTCCGAGTGTACTTGGGGATCCAAGCTGTCCCATAAATTGTGCAATCGCCTGGAGATCCAGGTGTGATTGTTCTGACGAGCACTTTTGTGCAAACTCGCCTGCTGCTTCGGTATTCCCTTCAATCTCCTTGCCTAGTCCTCGCATGATTCCAAAGACAATAGTCTGGAAAACGACGGTAGGGATCTCGAGTTGTACTTCAGAAGAAGGTCTAAATGACCCACAGAGGTCCTTAGACTGGGGTCTGATGGTCTCTTCGATACTCTCCGTCTTAGGATTGCGCCCACTGTCAATGTTTGACTCCCCTGCAGTACTGAATGAGACCCCTATGTCGTTCTTTTCAGCCAACCGCCAACTGTCGGCATGATAAATCACGAAGTCGTTCTCACCATCGTCCTGAAAATGGGGCTGTTGAGCGGCTGTGGTGGCATCGGCGTGGAGACTCGCCTGTTCCTGGGTAACCGAAGAACCTTTCGAACATGCGGAGGAGCCGAAAGGAGGAAATTCGGGTTGCGACATCGTCTCCCAGAAAGTCGAGTGTCCTGCGAATAGGTCATGTAGTTGGTAGAAGCGCTTGGATAGCTGGATAGGCAAACATCCACGCCAGCGGTCTAGTTTTTGATGGCGCCTCACAAGCGGAAGGATGGAATGGGGCCAAGCGCAAGCAATGTCACAAATAGCGGCCCCGAACCATATTTATGCCCCTGATCGCACACTGACCACAAACCACGGTCAGGGTGCCTGGCTACCCCTGTGCTGACGAGAAACGAGACTGCGCCTGATAATGCATACGTTATGAATCGAGATACTTAGACAGAGCTTGGAAGTTTTGTGATGTCTCGCTTTTCCCACCCTATGGGGCGAACCTGTAGGCTCTCCTTGAACCCTTGCTATGTATAGAAGCATCAACAACACCCCATGTAATGGGTCCCAGCCTGAAGAGCAAATAGACCCCAGGCTACCTCACCAAGCTTTGCCTAGAAGAGGATTGTTGAATCGGTTGGTTGGTTGGACCACGTCCTGGGAACCGCTCATTTCAATGCAGGTCTTACATAGGTTACCTTCTTCTTCCGAAGCTGATGCCGACGTGGGCAGCCGTCCCCTTGTCATGAGGCTTCGTATGCTGCAAGCTTCGCCACCTCCCGACCTTCCCATGCGTATGCATACATATTGTCACTTGGGGCCAAGACGAGGGAAGAGAAATCAACAGGCAGAATCCTGCGTCACGCTCAACCCCTGACTCCACTGCAGGAGAGCTGCGGGCCGGTCTGCATGATGCAGAAGAGGCGGTCCGCCTAGTCACTCTTCGTCCCGGCGCCTATTCAGAATGTGGCTGCTGGTGGATTTGGAGAAATAGTCGATGTGATTGGCGCGTAGATTCAGAAGCCGGAGATGTCCTGGTCAAGGATACACGAACCATCTGGTGCAATGAATGGTTGGATACTCAGGCTGACTTCCAGGGGGTGACTCACAGGCATCAGCCAAGCAACAGCGGACTACTGCCCTGAAAGAGGAATAAGGTGCACAAGGTATCTGGCCGAAGGATGCCATGGGATGGCCAAATTTGCACTACAGAGAACTTACGAGATGATTTGCTGGAGCCCACATTAGGAGTCACGGAAAAGCTCGACCAGGACAGCTCGTTCACAGTCGCGGGGGGGATAGAGAAACTTAAGCACCGGTCCACCCCATTTCCTCCGTCCCCCATCACTCTCGTATTCTTGTAGCTCTCAGAAGGCCAAGGAACGGCAATAATCCCACCAAGAACCTCTTGCCTGCCATGTCGACTGACTCCCTCTCAACGATCCAGGAGCATACGAGATCATCAGGTACGGGGTCGATTGCATGTGAACAAACTGGCCAACTGCGTGCTCTCGGCAGGATTCTACCGGTATGTCCTGAGTCGCCAACACCGGAGGTTTGGGACGCCGTGACCCAATATAACGACGCCAGCCAAGGCGACAAACGTGCGCAAGATGAGATTGCAGAGTCACCTACAGCCGACACGCAGCCAACACTCGCACCTAGCGAGCTTCGAGAGACTGATCACTATTCCTCTTGCAGCGACGGGAAGGAGAACTGTTCTCCTGGACTTGCATTCCAGGTCACTGTGTCGAGTGCCTGCCATCGAGTAGAGGCCCACGGTTCTATCGATAGCGGACAGGGCGAAGAAGTTGAACTGGATTTCACTCTCCCTCATCGCAAGCCGGTTAATATCACCATGAGATTCTGTCAGTATTCTCTTCGAGGGTCTTCACGACACACCAGGCAACGCGAGCAAAAGTTCCATGATCAAGTCTCCCGGAGGATGGGTGCGGAATTTCAAGCGCCTGAGCGAAGATGGCAATCTCCTGGACAGGGGCGCAAAAGGCAACGAGTCTATAGGTCTCGAAGGAGCAATTCAGGGGCCTTGCAAGTCTTGCAGACTAGATGAACCTATTGCTTTCTAATTATGAGTCTTCACCAGCCCCTGGAATGGTAATCGTCCCTAGATGCCTCCTCCAATAGATATTTGTTCCACGAGCTAGTGTTAACTTCGCTTGCCTTCATGTAAGACTTTTTTGGAAATTGTCTTGAATTCAGCGAATCTTGCGATACGTACTGATGATTGATCGCGGTGTCGGTTGCGAATGTTCCTTGCTGCCTTCCCCGGACGAGCCCAATTCGGAGAGAGTTACTCAACTCGGCCGTGAGCATGCCACGACGAATCGCTCGTGGCGATAGAGCTGTTGTGGCTTTCCCGCGGTCGCATGTAGCTAGAATGTTTTGAATGTTGGATTGAGGCGCCTCGCTGCTGCGCTTGTCAGAGGTTGACTGTTGCTTTCTTTCACTCTGCAGCATAAGTGTGATGAGTGATTGTCGCTGCCTTGTCCCAGGATGGGGTGCAGTACGCTGGAACAGCTGCCAATCCATGGTCGGCTCGCCACTATCATCAGAACTGTAGTCATCGGCAGTCCACTCGTCGTCCCCCCCATTTTCAGATAGAATTGATGCTTCATTCGGGAATGTGGGCAGGGCACAGCTGGACGCCTGAACATTTTCTATAACGTGGAGTCCCGAGCCAGGCGAGCCGCTTGTCTTGAGCAAACCCTTCTTCGAGTCCATGGAAGTCCTTCTTTGGGACATGTTGTTTCTCAGACGACAGGTGGAAATTTGCGTGAACTAATGTGGGCGCGTCGTTCAAGGAGATTGTCGCTGAACTGAAGGTCATATACACGAGATAATATACGCGGAGGACAAGGCTTCCTTTAATACTTTGGGAGGCACCTTTGCGTCGCACTTTCAAACATGGAAGGATTACTTAGAGCGTTCGTTCGCGTCGACCTGAACGCGGCATCTGCGCGCTGCCCAAACTTGGGACGCTCGAATTAAAGGAAGTAGCTGTAGGCAGAGGGTGACAGTGGTGTAGATTACCGTCGCTCTGATTGAGTGCCCTCAGAATGATACCAGGTGCTCTGTCGACCGTTCCGTGCCGGATTTTACCACTACAGACAGTTGCATCTCCATCTCTCTATCTACCCGTTTCCTTTGGTGATCTCTTATCATACTGTCTAGAGGTACTGCTGGCATAAATAAAATCGCCAGACAAAGCCCACACTGACCTCCAAACTGGTGTCTCACCCAACCAGTCACAGAACATGCTAGGAGCACAGATGACGCTAGGAACACCAATCCGCTTACCGCTCCAAGCCACGGCATCCCCTGGTTTGCCGTCGGCTGCTCTGGCTGAGGCTGGTTAGAGCGTCGGTCAAAACGACGGAAACACTGTGTCTTCCTCCATATCGCCATAACCATAATAACGGTAGTCAAGTGAGACACCATTGGAGCAGCCCACCAGTATTCGACGCCAGGTCGCCTGAATTGCCAGACGGTCGCCCCAATAAAGGGAAGGTGAAAGACCAATACCAGTCCAAAAATGATGATTCTCGCCCGATTGACGGCGTGAGAAAAATAGGCATCAATTAAGGGATCGACAACTTGAATATTCTGTAAACCATGAGTATATCGAGGAGGTAATCAGACGGGCCTGAATGGCGAGTACCTCAATGATGTCGACGCATAACATGGTGACCCCTTTCCAGGCTGTGAAGAAGGGGTAGGCAAGGACGCCTGGTAGGAGAGCATTTCTCGCACTGCCGAACAAAGCGGCGAACATTGTTCCTGTACCCAAGAAGACACATGCTGCGGGAATTAACGCCCAAGTTCGCCTACGCGAAGCTTCTCGCGGCTTGACTCTGATCATCCAGTACAGGTAAGGCGCCAGAAAGACCGTGGTCACGGCAAACACGACACCGGCCTCGGTGACCTCCCTGATGGTAATCTCGTCCTGCATGTCGAAATGCGGAAACCTTGAACGATGGAGAGAGCGGGATTCGGACTTAGAGTTATGAGAATATGAGCACCACAGGCAGAACAAGACGTGCTTTATATAATGTTAAGTCATCATAGCGAATTTTGGTACTTGGAAAGAAACGCTCAGATGAGGAGAGCCACAGGACGTTGTCTGGTCGCTTTGCAAACGGGCAGACATACCTAAAGTGTGGTGGTGATGGGGTTCTTTGCGCATAGTAAGGTTACACCATCATTGCCTTGAGACTTGGCTATAGTTGATATGATGCTTTACATATATGAGGCGGGTGAGCTTCCTCCACATTGAAGCGGCCTGGTCAGAGTAGGATGGGCGGAACGGCACGTCTTCACCAGGTCAATGCAGTTGGCCCCTGGTTATGAGGGCGAGGCCACCCAGTAGATCGGCATCACCAGCAGTGCATACAACCTGGTTCATGCACTCTAGCCTGCATGCGTCTAAGCTCTCTTTGACTAGGGGTCGGAACGCCATGGACCGGAAACAGAGGGCAACTTGCCCAGGGGCCCTGACGACACCATGAGCTCTCTGGTGGAGATGGACCAAACAAGGATGGTCATAGACACGAGCAAAAGGTGTCGTTGCTCCATTCCACATTGGGATTTGTGGGGCAACAGCGCGGCTGCAGGAAGCGTGACTCTCAGCTGTGACAATTCCGCAAGATGGGTTTCGTACTGGCACGCAGAGCCAAGAACTTGGCTCTCTCCGGTCGGCCTTATCGGGGCCATTGGTCGTGAGCATCAAGAAAAGGCAGGATTGTCAGGCGGGAAGGGAAGAAACAGAGAATAGATCTCTGAGACGGGAAAAGATAATTAATTACTGGGCAATTCCTTCGGCTTTTTCGTCTCTTCAAGAATCATCTCCATCGCCCTTTCTAAAAGTGCTCTACCCTTATCGCTGTCCAACTCATCAACAGAACACGGTTCTAGACCATCCATAAAAACCGCGCTCGCACCGCAACTCGCCAATTTGACAAATCTTCTGGACTCTTCTCGCCATGCTTCGCGCATACTTATTTCCATTTCGGCGCTGATGCTCTTGAAAACCGGAATGCCCACTCCCACACCCAACCTGGACGGCCCCCAAAAATATCTATCCTCACCGAGCTTTCGACAATACCAGTAACGGAGTAGAGATGATTTATCTTTGAGGT